GAAATCGGTCATTTAGGTATTTAAAAGGCCCTTTAATTAAAATATTTCGAATAGACGTTAAAAGGGTTTAGAAAAGGAGGTGCAGTGTTCTAAAGTAGGTATGTGAAAGGGATTACCTTTTTCCAATAAATGGTATATAAAGGGGGTACCTTTTCTGCCAAAATGGTATTTAAAAGGGTAAGGAGTTGGACCTCAGGGCGGAGCCTCCCCGTATTAAACTTTGTTAAGTACCCCCCCCCCGGGGGGGGACAGTGCTAAGGAGCTTGGGCCGGAGAATGCTTTCTTTTTTCATATAGACTCTTAAGAGGTCCCGGAAAACTGTATCCAAACATTTCAAAGTTGGCTCTGAACATCCAACCAAGAATGTCAATCCATTCTAAAGGAATCTGCGAGTAATACTCAAGTAACGAGGCAGATGTATCCGAAGCTTTTTTCTTGTATGTAAACCGTTTTGCGTCCTCTCCAGATATGCCTGCTGCTGCTACCAAGTCTGCTAAATCTTCCTCCATTGTTTCATAGTGTCCTATAAAGTCATATTTGATGGCACACATTGCACAAAAATTCGCGTAATTATCCCAGTGGAAGTCCATGACTGGGGTGGTCTCGTTGCTTCCTTTGGTTACCAAATATTGAATAAATTCACGAAAAGTAATGTCGTCGAGCCTCGTTAACGCTTGCCGTGTGGCGTTTGGACAGAAGTTCTTAAGAATTTCCCTACCGTGAAATTCAAGAATTGGGCGGTCTACTCGTCTTAGATGAACAAACTTGTCTTTGTACGCTGACAGAATGCGCTCGAACGGTTCACGAACAAACGTGAACTTGAAATATGTTTCCAACATCATGGTGAGCTTGTCTGCTGGTAGTGGCCATAACCTCGGTACGTTTATCCCACGAACTCCTGGAAACAACATCAGCCTGATTTCTCGACTGGCACATTTTGGTGTGATGCAATAGATTACTTTAAGACTCTCATTCACCGATACATGGCGAGGAAGAGGTTGTGTTTCAAGACCAACTTTCCCGGTTCGCTTGCAAAAATTTTCAATCAATTTTTTCCGTTCTTGCTGTCTTAATTGTCTGGAGTGAAACCCCTGAAACAGACAGAAGCAATTGAAGTCAATTTCCAGGAACTGATGATTTATCAAAGGAACAAAATACGAGGAGCTCTGTATGGGGGAATATTGACTTCGTCATTTGAGCACTAGCGTGACTTCAAATTTAGTAATTTCACATTTATCTTATTTTTGATTGGTTCGTTTTAAGCATGCGCCGACAGGGGATTATTTGCTCTGGTTTGCTATAAGCTTGCCTTGTGAGACTGAATATCCCGGAGTGGGAGAAAATCCCATATAAATAGGACATGGCGCTCGTAGGAAATTTTGAAAGAACCCCTAAGAGGTCCTAAGATCCTGCTTTGTGAGCGTGGCTTAACCTAAGAGGTACCAACACTAAAACAAAACATTATCTTGAGGAAATTTTCAAGATAGAAATTTTTTCAAGGTAGAAACATCAACTCGGAAAAAAATCCGAGTTCCAGATGGGATTTGAACCCACGACCCTGCGTGATCTAGTCGGATGTTCTAACCACTGAGCTACTGGAGACTCTATGGTGAGCACGGGTGAAATGTGCGTCTTTGACTGGAAGCGCATCGCGCGGTCACACAGCCAAATGATGTCTAGGCGCACATGAACTCACTAACTACATCGCGCAGTCACATTAAGGCATATCAAAGATGCAACCAACCACCCTCCAAAGTGAGTATTATAAGGAAATTTTCAAAGTAGAAATTTTTCAAGGTAGAAACATCAACGACATCAACGACTTGAATGTCAAATCAGTTGACTTTGTTGATTGTCCTCCTGTCTTTCTTGAGTTTCATTCACTTGAGTTGCTTGCCTTACTTGAGTTTTCTTGTGTTATCTGGCTGGAGTTTCTTGTCTGCTTTCTTCAGTTCCTTGTCTTACTCAGTTGCGTTTAATTCTTGCCTCAGTAACTTGTGTTGCTTGGCTTTGTAGGAGTTCCTTGTAGACATATTTTCTCGGACAATCAATCAATCAATCAATTCTGTCCACGGGGGAAAGGCGCAACTGATGTTAACCCTGTGTAAAGCACTAACCCGTGAGATAAGGCCAGTCCATGACGGCGGGAAACTCCATGCCCTACTTTCAGTCTGCGATAAGCGTGTGGGTTCTTTAACGTCCCCTGCTAGCCATGTAACAATGAAGATGCAGGACAGGACCTACGGTTTACATAGTCCTTATCCGAGAGAACTTGGGCGTCTAACCATTTGCAGATGTAATTTACAAAGGCAGCACATTCTCATCAGTTATTTTAAGACCCTGAGTGTTGGTCCGGTCTGGGGCTCGAACCCTCTTGCTTTGGCTCTCTCTTAGAATTGTCACGCCTTGCCAAATATTTTCTTCGCCTTACCTAAGTATTACTTATACAATAATAAGACGTCAAACATAGTTGAGTAAATGAAGGCATCAAGAAATCACGCTCAGTTATCGAGTTTTATAGAACATGCGCAGGCTTTATTGATGCATACACACGGCCACCGACAACTGGGGACGAGACGTTTTACAATTCCGGAAAGGCAAATTTACTGTAGGCCATCAATGACCGCTGATCTTTAGCAAGGTTTCCTACAAGGAGCCAGATAGTTGAAACTACTGAACAAAATGTAACCTTAGTAACCTTCCGTGATGACATGGCAAATATTAGGCTCGTTGTTGTATTTAACGAAAAAATAAATGAGAACGCAAAACAGTAGGTAGGGAATTTTGAAGCTTCACGGCCTCTGACGTCATCATGATACCGACAAAGGTCTTACTAAGGATGGAATTGTCAATTAAACAGCAAAGCACATTGGATGAGTCAGCTTTGCCGCCCACACTTTCACGGGCAACTGAGCTCTTATTCAAGGGACAAGAATATATCGGAGATTTTGGGTAAGTTTCTTATCAATGTACTCGGCTTTTAGTGCTTTAGCCTCTGTACATGAAAACCTTGTAGTAGTAATACCAGAAATACCAAACGGCTGAGCTTGTTTGTCGATCGAGGCTAGAAACCGGCTCCACATTGTTTATATTTTCATCAGGAATACAATACTAAAGTTAGATAAGTTGTGTAAGAGAAAGCAGGAATATACATTGGTACACAGCTGCGTCGTCCGGTAATTTGTGCCAAAGATTTGTTTTCTGAGTTTGTTTGATATATGCTCATATCTTTTTGATCGGTAATGTGACGTATATTGTATTACTGTATTATTCAGGCATGATATTTTGGAGCATAGGCAAAGAAATTGGATTTTCAGCTTGCCTATATGTACCTACTGAAATCAAAAAAGATATTAAGTTAGCTTAGTTTAAAAATAGAGTAAAACGAAAAACCATGGCATAGGGATATAGAGGGTCCGGACCGATAATGGAAAAGTGAAGACGTGTTTTCCCTCGCTCCGCTTCGTTTGAATGTCGAAATATACATTTCTAGCGTCTCCTTCATTGCATGGCTGAACTCTTTACTGCCTAGCAAATTGAAACGAACAACCAGAAGCAGAGGTGGTTTGGAAGCTGTTTCTCCTGACGGCAAGAGAATTACGAAGCGAGTGACAAAGAAATCGAATCAAGCGCTGACGGCAACGGCAAGAACTTTACTGCAACTTTGACCATAACGGAAATCATTGTTCAGCGACTTTAACAAGTAACAGAAAGACTTACGAACGTGGAAGGCAAATATTGTTAAGAACAGAGGGGGTTGGACACGGTTCGCGTATTCGACCAATCACTTGTCGTCTCGCCCGGAGCTATGGCGGACACATTTGTCGATGCGTGTTGAGAGTAGGTTGTCGTTTCTCAACCGATTTCTGCGCTCATCAAGAACATAAAACGAGCCTTTTCTAGGAGCGGCTAGTTTAATATCTAGGCCAGTTATTTGCAAAGTCTCAATCACAGGTAAGCATTTTTTTGTATCAAAACTGGTCAATAGAAATCAATCTATGTTGACATGGATACATGATCACTTTTTTGAACTCACATTTACTTATATCAAACTTCTTTCCAATTCATCAAGTTTAAACAAAGGAAATTATGACCCTGACGGTGTTTGCATATCTGATCTTACGGTAATTAGCATAGATTTTTACGATTTTATTTTCCGCGTTCTCTTTAGTTCTAGTGACCCTCATCTTTCCATATCATTTTCAGCGCACGGAGATGTTTGCCGTTCGGCGATCAGATGAAAATGAGCTCGATCGAAAAAAAAAACTTTCTTTCTTCCGGTAGGCTTTACGAGTCGTGTCCAACACCGCCTGAAGAAGCCGACCGTTGTCCCTAACAGCAGGCAGCCGGCAGAATTAACCGGCTACATTACTTTCAAAAAATTTCGAACGTTAGAAAGAGGCTAAGACACGCGCTTGGAAGTCGCACCCCATTTTACACAGGAAAATTGAGCGAATATCACGCGATTTCCATTCGTCAAGAGCGCGGCAATGAAAACGACGGTTATAGATGGCCTGAACTGTTGCCTTGTCAACTATTAGGCTATATGCCCGGCATAGTAAATCGTACCTTGGAAAAGCAAAGGCAATCAAACTCAATCAAACTCAGTTGAACTCAATCAGATCGAACTCAATCAAACCTAATCCGCGGATTGAGTTCGATTATGTTCGACACAGTAATTTTTCTAAACTGTTTATTGTTTTT